TTTCTAACAGAGAAAACAGTCTTTGGAGGCCTCAGGATATAGCAAATTCCCTGTGTAAATCTTGGTGGAGTGTGCACCTTTACATTTTTCTAGCTTAGACTGGACTAGGCTCAAAGGTAGATCTGAATTAAAGATTAAAAACAAAAACCAAAAAAATCCCCCACCACCACATTCTTAGATACAGCTATCTATGAGGGGGAGTAGAGGGCTCCTTGGCAATATTTTTAAAGATTTAAAATGCTCGCGTGCTAAAACCCAGAAACTGCACTTTATGGTAACTACGCGAACAAAAGAGGCATCTGTATACGAACAACCACTGCATCACTGTTTTGCAACAGCCTAAACTGGAAATGATCTATGTGTTGATGAATAGAGGATTATCTAAATAAATATATAAATCCATATTAGGAAATACCAGAAAGCAATTTGGAAAAAGGAAATAAAGGACAACTTGGGAAAGCTACATTTAATCAAAGAATAGATTGCCAAGATATGTCATTGAGTTGGGGGGAGGGGGGGGAAGAAAGTTGAAAGATGATCCATACAATATAATACAAGTATAATTTTTTACAAGCAAGTGTAATTTTTAAAAAACTTCATTATTTTCAATGAGTTCATATATGAAATGTACAGAAAAAGGCTTGAAGGAAAAACAAAAGTGATGGGAAAAGGGATGGTGAAGGAATGGGGTTGTCAAAGGGGCCTTTAAGCCTTCTCTGTAATGTTTTAAATTTTTGCAAGGCAAGTGAATTTATGGATCACTTGTTTAGTTAAAATGGTTGCTTTTATACTTAAAGCAGTGGAGAAGGCAGCATCTTTGCTCAGCGGGCTCACAATCTTTTAAATGATGTGTTAGAATATATTTTAGTATGATCTGCATAACAATCAAATAGTAACAGCGAACACTTATTGAGATCTTATTATGTACCATGGACCATATGTTTATTAAATCATTTAATCGTGACCACAGCCCTAGAAGTAGAGACAATTACTATCCCTACTTTATAGGTGTGAAAACAGGCCCGGAGTGACTGGACCAAACCCAGAAAGCTAGTGAATTTGGAACAGAGATTTGAACACATATTTCTGACTCTGGAGTCTAGACTTAACTACTCTGCTGTACTGTCCAAGTATAGAGAGAGCATAGATGATCTACAGTGGTAGAGTTGGGATTTGGAAATGTGAACTTGGTAGGGGGTACTATGGGAGGAGTCCCAATTATGGCAGACAGGGCTACTTACCTACAATATATCTATGTCGCCTTCTTTTTCCACTAAGAGAACCCTGACTTGCCCTAGCTCAGTGGTCGGCAAACTCATTAGTCAACAGAGCCAAATATCAACAGCACTTCTTCAAAATAGACTCGCCCAGGCCGAAAACCGACTTCTGCGCATGGGCCATGAAGTTTCAATCGCACTGTACGTGCGCGCCCGCATGTGGCATTTTGGGGCCAAAGAGCCGCATGTGGCTCTCGAGCCACAGTTGCCAACCACTGCCCTAGCTGGTTTGGCCTACAGACTGAAGGGGCCCGGGTTCAATACTGGTCAAGGGCATATACCTCGGTTGCATGAGGGAGGCAACCAATCAATGTGTCTCTCTCACATCAGTGTTTCTCTCTGTTGCTCCCTCTACCTCCCACTCCCCGTAAAAATCAATGGGAAAAATATCTTTGGGTGAGGATTAAAAAAAAAGAGAGAGAGAGAACCCTGACTTGATGTTGGGTGTTAAAGTCCCTCAGTCAAAATTCTCACAGCTTCCTTTGCATATAGAGACAGCCAGGTGACATGGTGCTGGCCAATGAGATGCTAGCAGAGGATGTTTGCAAGAAAGCTTGCTAAAGGAGACATCGCAGCTGGGTAAGTGTCACTTTGGCCTTTTGCCCTTCACCATTCATCCCTTTTTCTTGCCTAGAACACAGATATAATGCTGGGAGATGCCATCTTTAGGCCACGAGAAGAGCCACTTACTAAAGATGAAGCACAAGCTTTTAAGGTGTTTGGTACACCCTGACACTGCTGTGTAGCCCTGGTGGCTACCTCTGATTTCTTATGTGAGAAAAACAAACCTCTTTGCGGTTAAGCCCACAGTCACGTTCATGCTGACAAAGGCAGTTTAACGAGCACCGTGGGGTCTTGAGAGGCTCATCCTTGGGAAAGAACAGAGATGTCTGAAAGGTCTTAGCCTATCCTGGCTTTGAAAATGTAAAAGAACTGCTGCTCTACTCCAAGTTCCACTGGGACCACCAGGCCAAGGGCATGTATCAGCCTACACCTGGCCATCAGACAGAGCCCTCAAAGACACAGAGAAACACGGAAGGGAGCCAGGAAATCCACGGAGCTTAAAATCTCCCTTAAGCAAAAACACAGGGCAGGGCTGAGTATCTGCAATTTGATTCCAGTGCTGGGGGGGGTATAGATCCCATTCTACTTATAGCAGCAGCAAGTGCAAGTGCAGCAGGGGGAGGAGTGGGGCTCTGGCAGCTGTGTTTTGAACCTGCCTGGGCAGCTCCCTAAACATTTGTTTCAAAAACAGGCAAGAGAAGGGGATATTTTGGGGGGTGGAAAGGAGTTTAGGAGAAGGGGAAAGAATGGTACACACTCTGGAAATGGACTACTGATGTCTCAACTCTCTGCAGGTGATATTTCCCAAGCCAATCTTGGACTTGTCAGATGGGCCAAATCTCTCCTAATGAGACTCCCCGAGCCTGATCACTCCTTACGCCTGGGGTTGGCCAAAGGTCAGCTAGACTGGAGTTAGAGGCTGTTTCTAAGTCAAAAGGAGACTGAAGAAGATACAAGAGTGGCAGCCACTGACACTAAAGGGGAGGATGGAGCACTGTGAGAAGGACTTAACTGGGTGGAGCACCTCAGAGAGGCCAGGGAGAACTGGGATGTGGCCAGGTGGCCCCGAAATGTAGGTAGCTGGGGTGGACCATCCTTTCCTAAAGTCTGGCAGTGAAAAGAAGGAACACATAAGGTGGCAACTTAAAAATATTGTGGAGGAAAGGTGGAAGGTGGGTCTGCCTAGGCCAGTGGTTCTCAACCTTCCTAATGCCGCGACCCTTTAATACAGTTCCTCATGTTGTGGTGACCCCCAACCATAAAATTATTTTTGTTGCTACTTCATAACTGTAATTTTGCTACTGTTATGAATTGTAATGTAAATATCTGATATGCAGGATGTATTTTCATTGTTACAAATTGAACATAATTAAAGCATAGTGATTAATCACAAAAACAATATGTAATTATATATGTGTTTTCCGATGGTCTTAGGCGACCCCTGTGAAAGCATCATTCGACCCCCAAAAGGGTCGCGACCCACAGGTTGAGAACCGCTGGTCTAGGCAAAAGAAGTAGAAAGTAGCTGTAGGACTGAAGGAGCAAACTAGGTGGGAATTTTAGATTGTGACAGGTTGCAGTCATGTCCCTCTGCCAGCCCATTTCCCAGGGTGCCTGCTGTCCCTGTTTTGCTGTTAGGATCCCTCTATCTTTTTTGCTGTTAGGATATTTCAGAGAATTTGAACTTCAACTAGACAATCTTAAAAATCAAAACATTTGTAATGTCCAAAGGCATAAAGTTAAAATGGTAGAAACTGAGTGACAAGGGATCATTTAAATGACACCACATAGAGCCAGTTCTTGACAGAAACTTGAGAGTATTTTCCAATAATTAAGTAGAGGTCAGAAATCTAGAACTTGGAAATGAGAAAGAAATGTGGGTTAACTATTCCAAACCTTGTACTTTAGAAATGAGAAAGCTAAAGGTCAGAGAGGGGAAGTGAGTTGCTCAAGTCACCCAGCTAGTTTGGGGATCATAAAAGCAAATGCAGAGGGCATATACCAGGAACTTCACATTCACATGCCTTAATTCAATTTTTACATCAACCCTACAAGGTAGATAATCTAACAGGCAAAGCCACTGACTTGAGGCCACACAGAAACAGTAAAAGGGCAGAGCTTGGATCTGAACCCGCATAATCTGGCTCCAGAGAGTCTGCTTTTAACCACTACTCTTCATTCCCTTGGTCCACTCAGCAGCTTTTTCTCAACTCTCCCAAGCTACCTCCCCTGCCTGCCACCTCCCTTCAATGTCAACAGAATGTCCTCACCTCACTCCTGCTCTGATGGAGGCAGGCAAGAAGGATGGTTCTTTGGTGTTAAAAAAAAAAAAAAAATAGCAGAAGAAGAATAAAGGGGAGATGCCTGCCCTGGAGGACAGGAAGGGGCGGAGGAGGTAGCTGAAGAGGGTCGGGGCCTACAGCCTCTGCTGTGTTCCAGGAGGGACTGGCCTTGTCTTCCTGTCTGGTAGTTTGGAGCAGGAAGTTATAATGAATGTGGAATTCATGGAGACTTGGTGAGGTGGGGGTGATAAGCCCCAGGAAATGATATGAAAAATTATGTTCATAAGCATTTTTCACATCCCACTTCCTCCGATTCTAGCTGATCTAGAATGAACCAGACTCTTGCTGTTGCCCTCTCCCACACCTCCTGGGATCCCAGGAAAGATAGCCAGGATGGAGGCAAGAGCTAGGGGGCTGCAGTTAGGAGACCGGGGTCCAAACGCTGGCCCTGCCTCTTAACTTGCTGTGTGCACTTAAGCAAAATAAGAATTGCCTTCCTCTTCTCCTTATCACAAGGAAGTAGGAGACATAGATGGCATATCATAAACATGATGGAATGCAAAAACACAAAACACAACATCCAAACAAAAAACTGAAAGCACAGCAACACAGTGTGGGTTGTTTACTCTTGTGATCACGTAGCTCACGGGAGCTGCAGCTGGTTGCTGCTACCCAGCATTAAGAGACAGGATGGTACTGATTATCATTAGCCCAGGAAAAGATCACAATTCAAAATTCAAAGCACAGGTTCTAATGAACACGCATCGCTTTGCAACATCATAAAGCTGAAAAATCGAAAAATGGTAAGTCAGTGACATACAGGTACATTACCTCTTGAAGCCTTAGTATCGTCATCTGTTAAGGGACAGTAACCTACCTCTCATGTCGGAGTCGTGAGAATCAAATGAAAACTAGCTGTGATTGAGTGCACGCGGCTGGAGCTTGGCGTGTAGCTGGCAGGCCCTCAGACTGTTGATCACATCTGAATTTGGGGAGACAAATTCAGGGAATACCTGAGCAATGGCAAGACTCTGAGATAGAGGGTCTTAGTGGCAGCAGCTGGTTGAAAGAGAGGCCTGGGCTATTTGAGTTGAAGCTATATTTCCATAGCAAGCACACCGTTGTTTTTCACTTTGAAATTTGTTTTTACTTAAAAATTCTATTTTGTCATAACATAAACCTCCTTGTTGAGAAATTAATTTTAAATGTTTTCATTATAAAATGCATTCTCATTATTAAACATTTATAAATGTTATGAAAATCAACCATAATTCCCTCATTTAATTTTAACATTTACTATATTTCACTGCTTCCAGTGCATGTTTTTCTTTGTTTTGACTCTGATAAGATGTTGATAAAAACTAATTAGGTTTTGTTTGCTCGTGGGAAAAATTGTAAATATAAGGCATATAAATAGATATAAATATATAGAAAGAGAGAGACTTTTATTTTAGGGAATTGACTCACGTGATTGTGGAAGCTGGGTGAGCCCAGAATCTGATGTGTTAGGCCAGCAGCTGGAGATTCAGGGAAGAACTGCAAGTTGAGTCTTGCTCAAGGGACATCAATCTGTTTCATTAAGGCCTTCAACAGATTGGATGAAGCCAACCTCCATTATTAAGGGTAAATTGCTTTACTCGAAGTCCACCAATGTAAATGTTAATCTCATCCAAAAACATCTTCACAGGATCATCCAGAATAATGTTTGATCAAGTGCCTGGGCACCATGGCCCAGCCTAGTTGATACATAAAATTAACACGTTGTAAAAACCTTTTAGAAATGAAAACTATGAGGCTCAAAGGAACTCTGTATTATATAAGTCGTTTCCTACATATTAGCAGCATTCGTGGAAACTATTTCAGGTGTTCATCCTTGAGCAAGTTCAGCTTAACTCCAAGAGTTTTCTAGTAGGCTGTAGCAGTGTGTGTGGAAAGGGTTTACTCTCTGGAGTTAGCAAGCACACTGCTTTTCCTTAGATTATATGATGGGGTTGGGGGCAAGTAGAGTTGATGGAGATTGTGGTGAGGGGTTAAATCACATGACTTCCTTTGGTGGGATCACTTGGCTTGAAGGAAACAGGAGGGATGATGACAGTCTGACTGTGCCTCCTAAGGAGATAATGAAATGTTCTCGTGTTTCTCTAGACCACGACCTCTGGAAAGCATGCCAGCCCAATCCTGATGCTCTGACAAAGTTCCATCATCCCAGAAGGGGGCTTGAGGTGGCCAAGGCAATAAAGGAAATTAAAACTCCGGCAACAGTGGAGAAAGACTTCAGGCCAAAGAGAGGATGGAAGTTGGAGCCATGAGCTCTGCTATTTCTATCTTCTCTGGGATTACAGCCAGGCTGGCAGGCATCTCTATCAAGAAAAATTTGCAGAGCATAAGAGCCAGTAGGTCACATGGATCTGACGAAGGCACAGCCCCACCCCTGCCCCACCTCCCAACACATGTCATCAGCAACCTTAGTCATCCCCATCTCCTAAGATAGAGGTAGCCTTAGCAGGAAAGGTCAGTTGACTTAAATAGCTGTGGCACGCACAGCAACTTTCCTGGCCTGAGAAAGAAAACCCAAGCCATGAAGGATGACGTGCAGCTATTGCTACCTATGGTCGGGCGACAAAAAGGGAGACTAATGAGCATTTGTTAGACATCTTCTGTGCTCCCTACTCATGTGCTTTTGCACGTCCACATAGTGGCCTTACTTAGTCCTGAGGGCTGAACATCATTATAATCATGTTATAGGTGATGAAAAAACTCAGCAAGATTAAGTGACTTGCCCAAAGGTAATGGTATTAGACATTTCTCCTTCCCTGACTCAGTGCTATCATAGATGTACTGCTATGGTGCTAAAAAGTGTAGATGTTTGTTCTTTTAGAAATATCATAAATGCATGATTTAAAAAAAAACACAATAAACTGTAGATAAAAACAGTCACAATGTCTCCTAGTCTTGTCTCGAGCAAGTCACGACCATCAGTACTTGTACCTTTCCAAGAACAGTCTATGAATACAACCAGATAAGAATGTGTGTCTCTGAGTGTGTGTTCTTACACACACACACACACACACACCCACACACAGTAAAATACAATATGCTCTTTTGCACCTTGCTTTTTTAACTTAACAATACAACTCCAATTTCTCTATCAGTACACATAGATCTTCATTATTGTTAGCAGCTGCATAATTCATATGAATAAGCCATATTTATGTAAACCATTGGTTCCATTAGTTTGCTAATATAAACAATGAGGCAATGATCTTTCCTGTACATGTTTTTATGCACATATGCAAGCATATCCATTCCTAGAAGAAGACTTGCTGGGTCAAAGGGATATGTGCTTGGCAAATAATGATCTGCAAATTGCCCTCCCAGGAGGATTCCCAATTTTCACTTCCTCTAACATTACCTGAGAGACTGCCAGTGATTTCAACCTGCCAGAAAGGTTCAGAACATCTTTCTCTGCTGTGTCTGACTGAACCAGTGCCCAGACCCAGGACTTCTGTTTTCAAGGCTAGTGTTTATTTTCCCTTTTATGCAAAAGTTACTTTCCATATAGACATGGTCTAAAGGAGGTGGGAGAAACTCAAATTTTAAATGAAATTTGAAAGGATAATGTCACCATCTTTATAGGTTAGCTCCTAGGAGTAAATCAAGCAATACAAACTTATGAACAAATCACTAAACAACCTGAGGGCCAAAGGCCAGCCCCATTTCTGAATCTCATTAAGTCCAACGCTTGCATGGAGCTACTTTAAAAAGTTACCTTGTCTCCATCGGATCTCCTGAATGCCCTCCCTGGGCCTCACTGGGCTTGTCTGGCTGGCAATAGTTCCCTGTGTAGATTCAGGAAGCTTTGCCTGTCTTCCCTAAAGTCTATTCTCCAAGGGTGAGGGGCCTTGGGTCCGTCCACTCAGCTAGTTTGCAAGATGAATGTGCTTAGAGCACTTCTTTGATTCATGCCATGAAAATGGGAGGGGAGCCCTAGCTGGTTTGGCTCAGTGGACAGAGCTACGGCCTGTGGACTGAAGGGTCCCAGGTTCGATTCTGCAATCCCCAGTAGGGGGCGTGCAGTAGGCAGCCAATCAATGATTCTCTCTCATCATTGATGTTTCTCTCCCTCTCCCTTCCTCTCTGAAATCAAATATATATATATAATGTTTTAGAAGCGATGGAACACAATCTGATTTAGGTTTTTAAAAGACTACTTTCCTTGCTGCGGGGAATACATTATGTAGAGCTTAGAGTGGAAGGAGAATGACCATTTGCAAGGCTAAAGCAGAAGTGAGAGAGGATAGTGACTTGAAGTAGGAATGTGATGGTGGCGCCAGGAACACAGAACTCTCGGGTTGGCTTGGAATATTGGAGGACCATCTCTTCCATGGTTGTAATGTTTGAGTAAGAGGGGGGGGGGGGGGGGGGGGGGGGGCGTGGTGAAAGGTAGTTCTCTCTAGTGGCTCCCCACCAATGAAAAACAAATAGCATACAAATAAGTCCTCCGCCTTTTGAAAAGCAAACCTGACACGTCCAGGGAATACATTAGCAGCTGGGAGGCGTGCTCTTCAGGGCCAGTTCTAGAACGCATTTTTCTGAGGGACAACATACTTTGCCTCCATATTCCTTTCGTTGTTTGCACCTCTTTCCCCCCTGCCTTTCATCTAGAAGATGCCCTGGGCTGCCTTCTAGCTCCTACTAGCTTAGAAGCTGGAAGTGGGAGGCCCGGGAAGCTGAGAACCATCATGGAAAACTCAAGCTGTTTGTTTTCCGGCTTAATCCGTCTGGTTATTTTAGCCCCGATGGCAGCTCCTTCAGAATGTGAGCCACTCATCGCCCTTCCATTTAAGTCTTTTCAGATCAGAAAGGGAAGCCATCTGGATATGACACCCTCCCTTGGAGACCTTCCTCCCTTTTCTCCCGGCCCGCCCCGCAGAGGGCCCCGCCCCAATCCGTTTCAGTGAGAAATGCCCACTGGAAGATTCCACTTCGTAAAGAGAGAAAACCAAGGCGCCGAGAAGCTGCACTGAGCGAGGTAGGTAGAAATCACTTCCCTGAACAAGGAAGGAAAAAAGAGGCTTTTCTGGGGTGAAACATAGCTTGCCTGAGAGGGAGAAAACAAACAGCTTCCCTGAGTGAGGAACAAAGAAAAGCGCTTTTCTGAGGTAGAAACAGCCTCCCGGAGGTCAAGACGGCTCCCCGGAGGGAGAAATCTGAGGTGGAAGCAAAAGCGCAGGCAGCAAGAACACGGGTTCTAGAGTAAAGCTGAGGCCACACCACAAAAAAGAAGTTAAAACAAAAGAACGGCCTTTGTTACCCCTGTCACTCGTACAGAAAAGGGAGACCCTAGTAGGTGACACAGTTCGCGAACCGGGCTTACCCTAAACACAGAAAGCGAACTCTACTGAGACTTTCGGGACGGAAAGCCGTCTCTTATAGAGGAAGTTCCCGCCCACCCAAGTTTCAAATTGGTCCAATTTTATGCAAATATAGTTTCAAAATTGGTCCCAGTTCTGATTGGTCAGAATCATGCCATTCTGGTTGGTTGTTATGGAGTAGCTCTGATTGGTCAGTTTCGATGCAAATGAGGATCTAGCTGTGCAGTTCTGATTGGATGGGGCAGGTCTCAGCCCATTGGTCAAAAGACAAAACCAGGGCTTCCCTGACGTGGTTGACTCAGAGTAGCAGGGCACAGTGGGGAGGCAAA